TCTAAGGTGTAGCATTTGGTCATGTAATATGATTTCGCACATATATCACTGAATGATAAAGAAGCATAGACAACTTGGCCAAAAGTAAAATGAAATCGCATGGACATTACACTGTTCTTTGAGATGTAGGAATAAATGCAAAATCAGAGATGTTTTCCAATACCCCAAGACGATATAACAGTACACAGAGGAATACAGGAAGACCATGTTCAACAGAATGCTGATGGTCTCAACATTGTCAGTCTATTTGATGAAGAAATGCATAAATGGCTTTATTGATAAATATCATGGACATCTACAGAAGGTGATAGATGATACATTGTCACGTTAAGGGAACTTCCTATAGAGAAATTGAAAAGTAACGGGTTCAAGGTAATGTTTCAAAGGAATACTCATCAAACAAAATCATAGTCAATGAAATGTGTGACTTAGGACACGATCTGACCAATATGGCGCTACAGAGATTTAATTGTCACGTCTATTGAATATTTTCGCGTCCACTGCACATTTAATCAATATGATGGATTAATCACTTGATAAAGTGTCCCCTTGCTTGGAAATCTTGCTGCTCTCAAGCATTGATTTGTAGTTTGTGTTCGCTTAACCACACCATTGTGCTGTTCGATTTCTCGTAAGTTGCATTTCTAGTCCAGATTTTAACAGGAAATCGAGGGAAAAGGTCATGGTCACATAATTCAAGTTAACCTCGATTTAGTTTTCTTTACATGTGAGCAGCCATTTGCAAAGAACCATCACGCTTAACACAGGTCTTGAAGAGACAGGTCAGTCATGAGTAATGCGGTTTGGCACCAACAAGCTTTTAGAGAAATGAGAACAGGTTGAGCTGACATAAGAACAATTTTACGATTTTACCATTCCCTTGATATCCATCCCAGTATTGCATTTGGGGCATGTAATGTGACCATGGACAAGTGTTCGGTTGAGTGCTTATTAGTAATGAATGTTCCTAAAATGTATTTCAGTTTGGGTGGCCTGAGTAACTTGCTTGACAACGTATTGTTTCAGGCCACACGCAGCAAAATTCAAGCTATATGGCGACTGCATGTAAATAATTGACTCTGGACCAGACATTCCAGTGACTGACATCATGAACGCCGAACGATGCAAATGGGATACGATGACATGTCAATCCAGTCAGCGAACCTGACCACCCGATCTCGTTAGTCGCCACAAGCATTTGTTGCTGGATACAAACTTAATTCAAGCCCGAATCGTCACGTGTTAACAAATATAGGAGTGCAAATAAAGTGGGTGAATATTGTTGTTCAATATTGTTGTGTTGCTAGGCAACACTAGGAGGACACTGGATATGGATACGTTCGGCGATAGAGTGAGTGTTGTTTTATGCTAAGTCAACCGCAACTTACACACCGGGCTGGATATAATCTACTCTGTACTCAAAAATATTGTACAAAAGTGAAAACAACAGTAACTGAGGGCATTATAAATACGCCATGGTGTTTGGGGTACATGGCAAACATTCCAGCAATCAATGTAACCGATCTCATGTGTCTTCTGCTGCCGATGAATACTGTTACACTTTACACTTATCAAGCATATGTATATGGCACATGTAAAGTTTTGTTATGTAGCAGTCGGTTTCAACGTATGTGCCTCAGTTACGCATTACTTTGAACATTTTCAAATTGGCAACATATCAAGTACATGATATCCGTGATCCGTACATGACAAAATGATATCCGTGATCCGTACATGACAAAATGATATCCGTAATCCGTAGATGACAAAATGATATCCGTGATCCGTACATGACAAAATGATATCTGTGATTCGTACATGACAAAATGATATCCGACAAAATGATATCCGTGATCCGTACATGACAAAATGATATCCGTGATCCGTACATGACAAAATGATATCCGTGATCCGTACATGACAAAATGATATCCGTAATCCGTACATGATAAAATGATATCCGTGATTCGTACATGACAAAATGATATCTGTGATCCGTACATGACAAAATGATATCCGACAAAATGATATCCGTGATCCGTACATGACAAAATGATATCCGTGATCCGTACATGACAAAATGATATCCGTGATCTGTACATGACAAAATGATATATGTAATTCTTATTGTGACCTGCAGTATGCTTCCATGTTTATCCAGGTAAACAACTGACTTGACCTCCCTTGTGTTTGTGACAGGTACCACCAATTGGCCAGGACACGCTCACCTTTTCACGCACACCTCGTATCACCACAGTTTGATAGTGATTCACAGACACTGGCAACGATTGCGTTAGAATATGAAAACGGTGCGTTTGTCAATATGTTTGCTTATAAACGGATGTCCAACTCAAAAGTCATGGCTTATCAGAATACATTCACCTGAAGAATATAATAATGGTAAACAAAAGACAATGCTGTAACGGATTGTTCCCGTTACATTATCAAATACATACATCATTTCCACATATGCTGCAACAAACTTCTGATCATGTTTGTCATTATCGACTGTCACAGCTATTTAAGAAACCAAGCTGTCATTAGGCTAAATATGCCCATTGTCCATTTGTAAATGACACGTGCCTACATACTATTTGCAGCTATTATATCACAGATCTCAAGCCCATGGGTAATAGCGTGAAACCTGAGGAAAAGCTCATTAATTACGTAGACCTGTTACTTCTAATCATGTTCGCAAACGCCCTCAAAACCTAGAACTAATATCATTTCTACAAAACTAATGGAACACTGTCACTTATTAGATAATAGGTTGACTTTTACCCTTACATTACAGAACACATTATTTGGTATTGATATCAAATGTAAAACTAACCAGATTCGAAAAGAATTCCACTTGGCGTAAACGGCAAAACAGCGGTGAAAATTATACCATCTGGGGATGTGAAACTTTAAATAACTGCTGATGTAAAAGCAGTAAGGGGTTTGCTTTATTAGGAAACCATCAGGGTTTGAACATTTAATGATGCACATGACCTAAAATAGCCATATTGGATTTTTTACTCGACACTGACACTGACTATCACAACAACGTCTTGACTCAACGGACCCGAGTTAGATCCGGGTTAGAATTGGTCTTCAACAACCAATGCTTGCCGTAAAAGGCGACTCACGGGATCGGGTGGTCAGGCTCGTTGACTTGGTTGACATATGCCATCGTATCCCATTTGTGTAGATCAATGCTCATGTTGTTGATCACTGGATTGTCTGGTCCAAACTCGGTTATTTAAAGACCGCCGCCAAATAGCTGGAATATAACTGAGTGCGGCGTAAAACAACAAACCAACTAACCAACTTGATTGAAGGTTTTTCTGCAAATACACATTACTCCTTATGGGTAGAAAGACAACGTGATGCTGAAAATAATAGAACCAAGGGCAGCGTAGTACTGGCATTAAACAGCGCATGAAATGAGCTTTCGATGTCTGCCTTTATTTCAATCTGTTATAGGTTGATGACCTACTATTTCTATTTTCCACTTGCTCTTAAATGAATGCTGTATAGTTCATAGAGAATATATAATACATAAAGCGTCGTCGTGTCATCAGGTTGGGCTGAGGAATAGTGAGATGAATGCTATGCAGGAGCATCGGTCTATAATCAGGACCAAACGGCATCGCCAACAACCTCGCATTAGGCTTGGAAGCAACGGCTTGAATAAAAGAACTACTCGGAACATTAACACACATAGATCTGTACACATTAATGATGGAACAGTCCGAGGGATTTGACGGTTGGTATCAACGTAGTGTGAAAGCGCAACGAAATATGAATATACTTGATTACAAGTGTGAGACAAATTCCCTGTTATTACTTCATAATCTTGGGACGGACGTTTAGTTGTAATATTCGATTGGACTGCTGTTATTTTACATTGGGTTGGCAAGTACATTTTATGTACAACGGTATCGGTTCGTCTTAAATACCTGGCACCTTAAATGTCATAACAACCACAGCCAATATAGTATCAAATCATCTCCTGAAGCCAATTCGTCAGACAAAAACAATAAATTGGTCAAAAGATATTGCGTTTGGAATTTCAGGTGGCAACGGTGGTTCTTAAACCCTCATAAGTGAGGTATTCGGTAGAGGTACAAGACCTACAAATGAGACATTAAATGTTCCGTTATAGGGATACATATTGTCTTGGACGCAAACTACAAAAGGTAGAGCCGGTTACCAGCGCAGAAAGATAAAAGGGAATAATAGTGGATAAGAAGCCTTATTTAAGATATGAAGTCCTACATTAGATGGTGGGAAAAGTCGTATAATAAGTTTATCAACACTTCTCTGCGGCTTCAAAGAATACGTTTTATCCCCTATCACTGCTTCATGTCGACTATCATTTCTATACGCACGGTTACGCTTTCTTACAGCCATATAAACATAGGCTGTTCTTTGATGTGACACCGGTTGTCGGTACCAACTGGAAACGGCTAATATGTTGAGTGACACACTATTGACAAAAACTATTATTTTACAACATTTGGGGAAAAAGACACGTTCCTTCGTGAAGAGTAATTAATGATGCCTCTGGTTGTTTATGGTCGCAGTATTGACTCTAAGCATTAACTGACAAGGAAATATGAAAACTTCAAAGACGGGAATGATCGGTGTGCATGGCAAACTTTCTTTAACGGTTGAATAAAACTGAGGTTTGTTTCAATTTTGGAGAATTACTTATCAAGCATTCTGAGATTATTATGAGATACTACAAATTCGCTTTTCTACAAAGTATGGGTTTAAAGAAAAGTGTTTCAGCTGGGTGAGGTGGTCTGCGCTTTTGTTAAAATATGAAAAATGGATCATTTCACGTGAGGATTCTGATTAAATCATCTGTCCTGGTATAACGAAACTCGATCAAACCTTAGGCCACTAGGACATCCATGGTCCGAATTTCAGTAGTTTTGTTGCGTGATGGAAACGATTAAAACTAATAAAGTGAAGGCGGTCAAACTTAAACACGTATTCATTGGTTGGAGGTGTTGGATATCTCTGGACTGATCAGTAACAGTCACATATGTTATATTTGGGATTACACTTTCTTAGTAAAGTACAAATTCTAGTACTTTGGGTTGAGTTCCATCCGCGGGATTCGAACCCACACCCTCAGAGTCAGGCACATAATCACCAGCACACAAAGTCAGACAGATGTCTTTTGAACAAACTTGCATCAGTTTTATACATCTCAAATCGCACTGACACAAATACATTGAATGTTTTAGCTAGAACTGCATTTTGTAATCTGTACTTAGCATGGGTTTCAAATGTCTACCTACAACGACTGAGAAAAATGCTCTAACGTTTACATTTAATGTATGTACATCTCTTCTTTGAATGGTATTTAGAAGCTGATGTGAACGTTCTGTAGATAAACAGCGTTAATAATAAAGAAGTCCGCAGAGCTCCAGATAAGATTTAGCTCATTTGAGTACTGTACCCACTGTATTTTTTTGGAGTGGGTATTATGAATTTTGAGTGGGTATTTCATTTTCCGTTACCCACTACTTTCAAATATGTGCGTATTTCACATATTTCACGTATTTCAGTCATTTTACTCACCTAAGCATTATGTCATTGAGTAAGTTTACTAAGCAGGTATGTTCTGCCTTAAGTCATACCGAAGCAAAACCAACTTAAATATAATGGAAATGATTTCATAAAAAAATCACTCATCCTATACTGACAGTACAACTTAATAGCAATTGATATATTTTTCATTACGCAAGCGAGTTTTATAAATATATTCCGTACGCATTTGTTTTAAAAGTTTTTGCGTATCTGACATTTTAAATGCGTAATTGGTACGCAACAATTATTTTTCAATGCGTAATTGGAAATTTTCTATGCGTATTTTACGCGGATACGCAGCTTATCTGGGCCTCTGTGTCAGTCCATAGAATGTACCTCGTTGTATATGTACATATCAATCGTTCAATCAGAGGTTGTTGTGATTTGATACCTTTAGTCTACCACCCACAACCGGCTTTGTTTCAGAATTCAAAGTAGAATGCAAAGTATTGGTATCAAATGCTTAAATGGGATGATGACCACAGACTGGGATACTAACTGCGCCTTGTAGGCTTCTGTAACAGTATATCTTGCACCGGAACTTTTTCTAAAAAATGGTTAATGAGATGAATATTTTTTTTCACTCCAAATGATGTCTTTTTTTATTGCCTTCACATTACAATCCCACTTATATATCATCATTAACGCACCGCAGGAGCCGATTTCTCCGCGTACCATTTATGCCTTGACTCCACTGGGTATACATGATCATTTCAACGTTATCTGTGTTGTTCTGATCTAAGCAAATATATCGGTTTTCGGGACAAAAGCCGAGTTGTCTAGTGGCACCAATGGTGGGGCAAAGTAAAACGTCAAAGCCAGAGAATAATCAGTCTCGATTATCTGCCACATGTTCCACTTCCACTGGCGTTGATGAAAAGGCTATTAACGTTTTATCAGGAATACCGTTAACATGAACATCAGCGATAAACCAAGGTTTCTGTCGTACTGATAGAATTCACACAAGGTCATTGATGTTGTATGACAGATAGGCCTTTCACAGATCGGACTAGTGTCTGAGGACATCACATGGAACGCGATACACATTTTCAATAAACGGCATGTCCCATGGGTAGTTAGCTAATAGGTCTCATGGTACTGTACAAAGTATTGTATTGTAAATAGGATTGTTATGCATCGGTGTACCTACTGCGGTCACAAGGTCGTACGTTGACTCTGATGGCTGCATAGGGCGGTACAGTATATTTGTGTATCTACGTTATCATCATTTGTTATTTAGGGCGATGATAAGTTTGTGAATTTGTTTTTTTCCACAATCACGATGTACATACACTGTGTGAGAGAGGCTATATGTGTCACCAGATTGGGAGAAGAATTATCATTGGTGTATTTCTCGCATTTCAAAGGTAATACTATTTATTTGAACCTGTGATTTAACTACAGCAAAACACTCACAAATGACTTGTCTAACAGAACACGCAGATACAAAAAAAGGTATTTGAAACAAACAAATGCATTGAAACTTTGTCAATTCGAAAGGCACCGTTCTGGGAGACAGTTCAGATAAACAATTCCCGGATTAATGCATCATTGATCCAGAAGGTGCTTCGTGTATCTTCGCAATTCAAAGCTACCATTAATTTTACTTCGTTATAGCCGTAGTTCGTTGTAGGCATTTCGACTAAAATATACAGCAAATGGACAGGACAGTTCGTTATATCTCTCAGTTAGCGGGAAATAACAACGTTCACCATTACTTCATCCTGGAGTGCGGCGTAAAATTAAACTCATTCACTCATCCTGACTATGTGTATTGCATAAGATGGGGCGGTGGGGGTGGGGGTCGTGACGAGCGATTTTTACACCCCCAATAATTTGCATGTGTCATCGGAAGGTTAAAAGTGTTTCCGAGCAGCCAATTATTAATCTTACAATTGAAAAATTACCAAGCCCTGAAGCTGAACATTCGACTTACCAACATCAATGACGCCTCTCTGGCCAAGTCACCATCATTTTTCTACAACGTTCTCCAAGGACAATACCTCCAACACTGCCCTATCGATCACATGGAGAGCTACCTTGGGCAATTTAATATTGTGTCTATCGGGTCGGCAACACGTCTGAGGACATAACCATGATGTAGAATGCGGCTGCAAGATTTATAGTTTAATTCTGTTGTCTGGTCTCTTGACGGATGGTTCTTTGATGGTTGGCTTATGGCTGAGGTGTATTAAAATAATTAGACGGGACACTAATTTTATTCATGCACTCATTTCTTTCATATAGAGTTCTAATGAGAATGCCTAATATAATTGATCAGTGTAATATTCGATAAAATACACAAAATACGTCATGAAGAATAATATTCTTGTTCGTTAGAAACTGTGATTTTTAGATGGCAGGGGCAATTACTTAAATAATAATAACAGTAATTACTTTATTTCTATACTACCAATCAAAAGTTTAGACTCACTAGTGTAAATGTAGCCACTTATTTTAGTCATCTGTTCTAAACTAGATTTTGCAAAATATTCCATACTGTTTGAAGGTACTGTTTACACGTGAACTGATGTGTTTAACACAAATTCGTAACTTTGAAAAGATTATTGTGATGAGTTGAATAAATGATGAAACTCCCAAGTTAGTGGACAAAATCATCGTCTATACCTTCTATAACCTTTGAGACCGCCTCCGTGGTGTAGTGGTTAGAGCGTCCGCCCGGAGAGCGGAATGTCCCGGGTTCGATCCCCAACCGTGTCATACCAAAAGACGTTAAAATATGGTACTTGTTGGTCCCTGCCTGGCGCTCGGCATTAATGGGTAAAACAAGGACTGGTCGGCTCGGAGTCAGTATAATGTGTCTGAGTAGGGTATTCATGCTTCACTGCGGCATGGTATCTCAGTGGGCTAGCACTATAAAACCAGATTAAGTCTGGGCTAGTACAAGCAGCCGCACACACATATACACATGCATGCACGTCGTCATATGAGCGAAATATTCTCGAGCACGACGTTAAACCCAATTTCACCTCACCTCACCTCTATAACCTTTGATGCGTAGTATATATAAATGACGCTTCAATGACAAAATGATGTCTGATGCAATTTCCGAATTTGTCGTGAACATCACCATTTATGTTTTCGTCTTTGTTCAAGGGAACAACTCACAAGGGATAACTATTCCAAATCACTAACTATGAAGGATCTTCTTAATAACATAAGTTCTCATTTAATTATCGCATTTTTAAAAGAATTAGATTTGTTGCATGATTTGTAAATAGATAAATATTTTATATTTGGAAGTTCATATTAGTAACTTCGATTGTGAGTGGCTGTATCCTCAAAGGGGGTTAAAGTACTGTAAAATTATTGTCCTCCTGAGAGGATACGTAAGTCCCTAAAACATTCAAAGTAAATAAACTTTCCACGTTTTTAATCGTAGAATACGTGTCTTTTTAATGTATGGCTAGATTTCCTAAATTGCTAACGGCTGAAGGGATGGTGTAAATCCAGCTAGGGTCCATGTAGGAAGCAAATGTACTGTAAGTCCCCATGGTCCCTAGTATGGTGATCTACCTTCAGTTGTTGGCAAGATAGTATGACCAGAAATTATTGAGAATTTTAGGAATATGTTTAATTGGATTTCTAGTACAAACAACCTTGACCAGCTATCAAGTGCTTGGTTTCATTCAAGAGAGACAACTCCGTTAAACCTTTTTCATTAGTTTGTGAAGAGTTATCCCCCTTTGTTTACTTGCTAGCAGACGACAGTTTCAGCGATCCTCAGTATGGATGATTTAGAGAAGAGGAAGTTGATTTTAGAGTATTATAACAAGGACATCAGATCAGCTAAAGTGATTTCAAGTAGAACAGGCATCCCTTTGTCCACTGTTTATCGTGTTTTGAAAAATATTGCAAATGGATATGGCACTGAGCACCAGGGAGGCGCAGGTAGGCCCAGAAAATTGACTGTCGGTAACAGGAGGCGGCTTGGTATTCTTGTTTCTAAATACAAATGAAGGAGTTTAGAAAACTTAAGGCTGGATATGATTGATAGAGGAACAGTGGCTGGCTGTAAGGAGACAATTAGAACTGAGCTGCATGCAATGGGTTGGCAGAAAAGTCGAGGAATTCCATCACCGATCGTGAAACCTGAACAAAAGGAGCGAAGGTTGAACTGGTGCTTACAGCATAGAAATTTTAACTGGGACAATGTGATTTTCTCAGATGAAAGTTCTGTGTGGCTGTTTCCTAATACACTGAACTACACCAAACAAACTGAAAAATCTTTGTATCAGCGCCCAAAGTACAGTCCGAAATTTAACATGTGGGGTGGCATGTCTGTGTTAAGGGCAACGACCCTCTGTGTATTTGAAGGGAATATGAACAGTGAGCGGTACACAGATATTCTCGAGGGACATTTACTTCCATCTGCTCGCGTGTTCTATGGACATTTTTGGATTTTCCATCAGGACAACGACCCAAAACATCGTTCAAAGTATTCACAGGCCTGGTTTCGGACCCAAAATATGACATTATTAGATTGGCGAAGCTATAGCCCTGACCTAAATCCAATAGAAAATGTTTGATGACTTATGAAGGAAAGTGTCAATAAGAAAAATCTGACAAATATTGCAGAAATGAAAGAAGAGGTGGTCCGATATTGGGGCAGCTTGGACCACGACTTTCTAACTTCTTTGGTCAGTAGTATGCCCCGCCGCATTGAAACCTGCATTGCTGCCCATGGTGACTTGACAAAATACTAACTGTTCACCTGTCTTTGAATCTGGAGTTATGTTCTGCTAATATTCACATTTAATACGTGAGTAATGAGTGAACAAAAAAAAACAACCTACAATCTGAAATTCTCAATAATTTCTGGTTATACTGTATATAGCCTGTTTATATATTGTATTTTCTTCTATAGTTAAAAGTTTTTAGTTTTTCGTCCTAGTTCTATATATGTATATCTGTGATGTTCTAGTTATTTTACTGTCCTTCGTTGACAGGGTTTTATAATTTGACTTTATTTATTACGGCTTTATTTCTTATTCTACTCCTCGTCACGATATGGCTGCAATATTGCCGATGTGACGTAAAAGTTTTCAGTTTTTCGTCCTAGTTCTATATATATATATCTGTGATGTTCTAGTTATTTTACTGTCCTTCGTTGACAGGGTTTTATAATTTGACTTTATTTATTACGGCTTTATTTCTTATTCTACTCCTCGTCACGATATGGCTGCAATATTGCCGATGTGACGTTAAGTTTAACTCACTCACTCGCTCAAGGGAACAAATAACTTCCCGTTGTATGTGTCGGGTACCTTTCATTACATAAGAATATACGTATTAGGTGTGTATTATGTGACTACATAGTTAAGTGTTAGACTGTAACTCTGTAAGCAAAACGTGCATTTATTTGCAGTGAACGTACCAGACACTGTGAGTAAGTGAGGTAAAATTTAACGTCATCTCGGAAATATTTCATCAATATAGTGACGAGGAAGGTTTTGCATACACAATAGATACAAGCTGCTAAATAACCAGTCATCGAAGGGCTGTAAAATAACTAGAGTATCACAGATGGCGTTTAAAACTAGCATGTGTATCTATAACTATTTCATTTACGAAGACAATACAGTATAAAAACAGGTTACAGGTCGTCAACAACTGAAGGTAGATCATGCTAGGGACCACGGAGACTTACAGACTAGACACTGTGGTACATAGCACTTCTACTGTGAAAACCAGTGTGTTGGCGAACAGGTGTGCGCGAGATGATTTCAACAGTCGGCATTCGACGAATATACTGAGAAGGCTCAAATTGATTTTTGCTGTTGGATAACAAATGTTGTGAATAAATATATAGTGGTTCTCGCTGTCAGCAGGCCTATCAATATGGTGTGTTTATTGGTATTAAGGCAAATCTGTTGGGAAAAATACAATACCATCCTTAACACTGTGACTATATGTGAAGCAATTTCGGCTGTGAACATACCAGTGAATGCACTTATGAACTAATTTCCTCGTCGGAGTGTGTTTGGCCGTTCCGTGAAATAAACAACTATCTGTGCTAACTCATATTAAAACAATCAGTACCTCACAGCGGTTCAACTATTTGAGACATGTCATCATTTAGTTTTCAAATAGATAGATGAGACAGCATGAAATTAACATTTAGATGTATGAAGACAAACATCAAATTGTATATAACGGCTTGCTCAATATAACTGTACGAACTCCGTTTCGGGAGACAAACATAAAACTGATAATATAACACCACCCATCTAATATATATAATGATAATATGACGGTGTAGGGTATGTATGTATGTATGTATGTATGTATGTATGTATGTATGTATGTATGTATGTATGTATGTATGTATGTATGTATGTATGTATGTATGTATGTATGTATGTATGTATGTATGTATGTGTATGTGTACGTACGTACGTACGTACGTATGTATGTATGCATGTATGTATGTATGTGGTGGGGGGGGGATGCGTGCGTGCGTGCGTGTATACCAAAGTTATGATTCGCCCGTGGGTGAGATATAGGATAAGGAATTATATAAGCGGATATTCAAAAGCGAGATAGAAATTAAATACATTTTGTAAACAAACATGTATACATTTACAACCCCAAACACAAGTTCCGGGTTAGAATTGGTCTTCAGTAACCCATGTTTGTCGTAAGAGGCGACTAACGGGATCGAGTGGTCAGGTTCGCTGACTTTGTTCACACATGTCATCGTATCCCACTGCGTAGATCGATGCTCATGCTGTTGATCACTGGATTGTTTGGTCCAGACTCGATTATCCACAGATAATCCACCGCCATATAGCTGGAATATTGCTGAGTGCGGCGTAAAAACAACAAACCAACCACCCACCCAAACACGTTACTTTTCAACAAGAGATGTATATATCTGTACATGGGTTATTAACCGTTGTATGATTCTTATCAACAAATTCGTATTGCAAACGAAACATAATATATGTTTCAGCGAGAATGGAAAATACTTAAATGCCAGAAAGTAATTCAGTCGGAAATAGCTCGCGTGCTATCCGATCCAACATATAAATATCGATTCGATATTTAAATATCGAAGTCAATGAAGCAGAATACCGAACATTCCTTGTCAAATCACCACCCACCTTTTTACTTTCAACAGCAAAAAATAAATCCTTTTATTGCCAAGTCGTCAAAACATGCCTTTGGTCTGAAGGGAAATCTGTAATGAACGCATGGTTTAATAGCACAGAACGAGTCCTCGAGAAAACAGGCTTCCTGAGCTGAAGCACGGTTGTAACTGCATCATGTGTCTGTCGTGTTGGCATGGCATTCCAAGTTGGTAGAAAGGTCACGTGGTTGTCTGTCTCCATATAAGCGACGATGCTTTCCTTTGAGCTTATATGAGCCTCATCGCCAGTGCCCATTTCACGAGCACGCTGGCTTTCTCCCGCGACAGAGACTGACGAATTCTCCAGGCGAGTACATGTTCACGTATCTGTAATGAAAATGCCAAGGACCCCACGTTCTGGTGACAGCTATTCGTCTCCATAGTAACCAATTACTGTGGGTTTATGTCACAAATTCCCCAGCTTCGTCCGAATTTCATTAGATGCCGGAATTCCGCCTGACAAGTTCTTATCAGACGTAAATCGTACAAGTGTGGCTCTGTGAGGTAGGTTTGAAGTACTGTTGCAGGATTGCCAAAGCTGTCGAAAATGCTTGCAGAGACATTTATATATATTATGCTTTTAACGAATATATTAAAGCTTTGTTTACGCTTGCAAAATAGTCAGTAATGCGTTGCGTTATCAGATTCCATGTAACATGACTGTACTTCAGAATGAGATGAGAATATTTCTATCCTGTGTGTCTTCATAATATTATCTGGTTTGCTTAAGATTGTCTGTAACACCATCCTTTCAAGTGTTTCTTGTAAAGCAAGCGAGCGAGTTAAACGAATTTTACACCACTTTTAACAGCATTCCAAGTTTATCACATTGTGTCAGCTTAATGTGGGAGGAGAACCCGAAGTAAGTCCTTGATGTTAACCACTTTGGCCAAACCCATGACAAGGATAAATAGAGACAAACCCATTTCGTTTTACGTGTAATAGTTGTGTATGCCATGTTCATAGAAGTTAAATGACAGTTAATGACTTCCTAATGAATAGAATTCCATGTAGCTGTTGGAACAGATTTCATTGTACAATTCCGACTATACATAGGCATGAATCACTATCAAATCTACAACCAGGTGACACCCGTTATAAATATAAAAATTTAGTTCTGCAAACCACACAGCCAAAGTGTTTTCGTAAATGTTCCCGTGTATTCAACAAATGTTGCTCTAAATCACACAACAGAGAGTTTTGGGGACAT